CCATCCCTATTGAAAATAGTTTCACTTATCTCGTCTTTGATTAATAATACGTATATCCCTGTATAGGCACTGGAGTACAAATAAATACGATTTTATTTATAGTTTTACAGTAATACCTTCATATTTGAATTATCGTTAGATTCGTGGTCGTAAGATCCGTGGATTTAAGCCATGGATCTGATTTATCGACCATGAATCTAACCACATAGTATTATAGCTTCACTGCCTCCGTGGTGTTACGGTTAGAGCGTTGGACTCCCAACCTGAAGGTCGTAGGTTCGAATCTCGCGCGGACCAACATAATATCTCCTGCGTAGCGGGTTAATCTCGTTGAGATTAGCCGCTGTGGTAGAAATCGACCAGGAGGCCTAATTTTTACAGCTTCAATCATTTTCTTTCAGTTTTAATTGCCGTGGGTACCTACCCAGTAAAGACTGATGTTGAAACGTAAGAATTTAAACAAATACCAAAGTAGTTTATGTATTGAGTTTTTAAGATTTTATATGTAATGGATGTAAAAAAATACAAAAAAAAACTTCTGATTACTTCTGCTATAATGATGTTTTATCTATAATTTCCTTTATTGCAGCATTCTAACAGGCGATTCTAACGCGACGCCATTACTTGATTCATATAATCCGTCAGATCCGTGGCGAGCCAAAACATTCTTTTTTTTTTCAAGAATCTATAAGGTCTACGTGTGTGCCTTATCTACAGAATGACTTGTTTTTCAGCCTTCTTTAGCCATATAATTTAAGTTTTTTCTAATAATGAAATAAAATAAAAGCCACAGATCTGATGCGAAGAACGTTGGTCCCAGGAATCACCCACTTACATAGATCAGCGCCGACAGTAGGCCGAGCACTGTATCCATCCTAAGAGAATTCCAATCTGACCAGTCAAGAATACAGACACTGGTGCGGTAGAAAAATATCTTACGGTCCCCCTTTGCCTGGCAAAAGCACTACCTTGGACTTCTGAAGGTTTGAAAATAGTAACACACGTAGTAAATGAATTGGGCATTCTAACTCACTAAATTGCATCCTAAACGCTCGCACAACTCTCTACCTTCGTTTCACTCTGCCAGACGTTGGACGATTTGGAATACCCAATTCATTTTTCGATTTGTTATTGGCGGTGTACGTTTACATACACCAGCACCGTAACTGAATGTCATTTATGTGATACCCATGATACGTAGAGGTCAATTTAGTCAGCAACTATGAAATCCGTTAAACAAAAAGAATCAATAAAATAAGAATGTATCTGCCCTGCAACAACTAACGCTTAAATACGACATCGTAACTGATTGTCTAATACAATACGTTGTATTGTTTGTGGACCATCAAAGTGTGGGAAAACCAATTAAGTAATAAGTTTATTGTAACATACCAATGGTCCATGTTTCAGAAACTATTATGTGCATTCTAAATCATTATATCAAGCTAAATACCTATATCTAGAAAAAGCTTTAGAAATAGTACCTGATCCATCATTTTATAAATATAACCATAATAGCGAAATTTTGAGCACACATGACGCCCACATGCTTGTGAAATAAAAAAAAACATCAGAGAGTATTTTGCCATGGGACGTCATAAAAACATACAGGTGTCAATTCTGGCGTGATTCTCTAAACTTAAAACTAAATTTAACATCAATCTCTCCTTTTCATTCCGTATAGAGAATGACAAGGATACACTGTTGTCAAATTTAAGTTTAGGTTTAGAGAATCGTGTCAGAATTGACACCATTGTTTTTATGTTAATCAAACGTATACAAAAATACCCAAACAACTTGTAAAAGACAATTCCAATTTGATTATATTATTTAAGCAAGATGATGTTTACTTATAACACGTCTATGATGAGCATGTTGGGTCAGATATGTCATGGTCTCAATAAATTCCAAAATTTTGAAAACTGCCTATATTTAAAAATTGGGACAAACGATTTAACAGAAAAATAAATTTATGTCTTTTTCCCCATTAAAACAATTAAAGTTGACAGACGGGACTCGAACCCGCACCCTTCGCAATCCGGGCGAATGCACTGACCAATTATGCTACCGCGGCCCTCACGGACCGCGTCGAAATTCCTCTAGTCATTCTTTATCGCAAGTAGGATGTCAAAATGGACAGAAGTAAAAGCACTGCTAAAGTCCAGTAAAACCAGAGCAGTAAGATTTTTGTTATCCATAGCCCAGCGAAAATGTGGCCAGGGCGGAAACCAGATTGGTAGAGATTTAGCAAATTATTAGCTCGGATGAAAGATGAGAGTTGCTTATGGACTATGTGCTCGAGAACTTTGGAAAGAAAGGGTAGGATGGAGATAGGACGAAAATGGCAAGGCAAAGATGGGTAAGATGTTTTAGGCAGAGAAATAATAATTTGTGCCATTATCCACATTTTAGGAAAAGAATTAGATGTGAAAGAGAAGTTAAAGATATGAGTAAGTATAGGTAGAAGAGTAGATAGAATGGGAGTAAACATTCTCGAGCACAATTTGATCCTTACCGACTGACTCTGAAGAAATGAACAATATTGATTTATTTACTTCCGTTTCCGAAACAGTCGAGAAGTCGAATAGGGTATACTTAGTTTTGGGGACTGAAGAATTTCCTCTGAGTGTGGCAGCTAATATATTGACGTTTATACAAACAGGAGAAATGCTTGTTTAGTGCATTTAGGTCAGTACCTGTAGAAACAGTTGAAGCCGGTTTACCCACACCCACGCACGCAGAAATCGCCAGGAATCTGCTGGATTGCGGTTTGACAAAGAATCGTGAGAGTATTGTCTCTTAGCATCTTGCATGCCTGTTTCAAAGAGAGAAGGCTGGGGAAAAGTTGATCGTGGCTCTATATGTCGATGACGGACTTGTCGCCGGATTCTCGACACATACGATTGCAGCGATTGCGAGGGGTTTTATAGCGGAGCAAATAGTTGTTGGTAGGACAGATTTTAAGCCTCCTTTTGACTTTTGTAACAAAAACAGTTGGTCGCTATGTGACAAAAACAGTAAAAAAAAGATTATATCGATTCAGTTGACGTATGCAGGTGGCAGTGACAAAATAAATGGCAACACTAGGTATAAAATGGATGAGAACGGTAGTCAATGCAGTTTTTTATTACCTATTTATTTTACTCGGCTTTTATTTGTATTAATTACAACGTGTAAAAACTGTTTATACTTAATTTATAATATTAGTAAAAATGTCTATGCTAGACGTTCAACTTTGATCCAAATATGGTTTGGCCGTTGTCTTTTAGAATCGTATCAGAAAAAATTTTTACAAAAAAGTCTCCTGTAACACAAAAAACAATCTATTTTTCAACGTGATCGCAAACTTTTTTTAATGTGTGTATGCAGCTTATATTTTTACCCTTATTATTTTTACTAAACGGTTTTATTCGTTTCCGATTATCTGTTTTATTAGAACAAATATTATTACTACAACAACATTTGCTAACAAAATCATTACTAAAAACCTCTACGGCACGCGCTGGGTTACCTCTAGAAACGTTAACACTGTTATCAGTCACCCGTTGCGCGGTAGTAGCACAAGCGTAAGCGCTAAGTCAGCGCGACGAAATAAAACGTATGTACTTTATAATATTAGGGGCTCCACAGATATAGCACTTTCTATCACTTTTCACTTCATCACTTTTAACGTTTAACTTTGTGCTATTGTTTACTTACTGTGACCTACGCGTTTACAGTGATTGCTTTCCAATTACAGCATTATAGCGCATTATGCGGCATAATGCTTAACGTTGAGTGTTCCAACTACAGCAACGCTTCGCACAGTTGAGCACTCTCAAAAGTGATGCTTTCGTGTGATGCGTGCAATCATACCAACTTAGAGACAGAAAATTAACAAGTGTTTTTTCTTTAAGTTGGCATTGATCGAAATGTTGTATTTATATGTTATCGTTAGTAATATTATTTATTGTTGAAAAATTATTAAAACTTTCGTTTCATTAAATAGTTTTTTTTTAAATAACCAAAGTTCATTCAAACTGTTAAAAAATAATTATAAGTATGGATGAAGGTACAAACATTGACTTTTTTTTCAACACTGAACTTAGCGCACTCTGCTGGTGCATTTGAAAACAAATTCACGTTCCAATTAAGCATCAGCATAATTCGGCATTGTGCGGCACTGAGTCGCATTATGCTCTGTAATTGGAAAGCAACCAGTATTCGCAGAAAATACGCTTTGAAGTCGCGGGCTCTGCACTTGAAGCTACTTCTGTCGGCACCGTAATTAAAGACGACACAGCACATGAAAATTAATTTATTCATGTTCATTTATAGCTCTTACTACGTCTTAGACCATACATAATATAAGATGTTATAAGAGCACATATTATAATTATCATCATCTAGAAACTTACAATGTCAGCTTCTAACGACGTAGGTAGCAACCTCTTTGCCAACCGCTTAAAATAAAAGAATGCATTACACGAGATTACACGTCACACCCGCATTCCGATGTAAAAAAAACTAAATAAGTAAGGCTATATGGGATTTATTTCCTTTGCCTGCTCAGAATTAGTTGATTATTAAAAGATAGAAAATAGGCGTTTTTGGCGGGATCTCATCGAGTGCGGTTGGCGTCTTATTTTAATTATTCTTAAATTCGTTCATAGTGGATATTGTGAAATAAAATTCGTGTGATTTTGTGTGACAACTGTCTGCGCAACTGAAGAATCAGTGGAATCTTTAAAATATACGCTATAGCGGTAAAGACGGACGTCAGAACTTTATTGTAGTGTTTACTACCTCACAGAAGCTTATCGAAAAAGCCAACTCGATACATTTCGTGCCAAATACTCCAAGAAACATTAGAATGCGTCACACTGACATTCTAATGTAAAAACAAAAAGAAGATTAATTTAATTAAAAACCAGGCTGTATGGGCATTGTTCCCTTTGCCTTCCCTAAAACGGGAGAACTTCAACAAAAAAAAGACAGTAAATGTCACAATTGATTTTCAGGTTATGTACGAATAACAATAGATCCATTCTGACCAAAAATATTATGTAAAGATTAAAGGAACTTGTAATTAACAAAACTCAAGTTACGGTAGTTAACCAATAATATTTAAAAACATGTCCGTGTTCAGGGCAGGCTTACAAAGAATCACAAATGTTCTTAAGAGTAGCCCAGGTTAGTATCGTTCTTGTAAAAACTTCACAGCTTGTTTCTTACATTATTTTAATCACGATTCATGCACTTCAGGTGGTTTTCTATCAAGATTCGTGACAAACTTGACACCTGTGGAAGACAAAGCAATTCCTCAAACGTCAAAAGAAGTCATAGCCACTTGTAACAAACTTATAGAACAGAACCCCTCTCGTAGTTTCGCCATAATACATTTACTAGGGAAGCAATGGCGCGTGACTGATGGCGACCTCCTCGTAGTCGAAGGATACTGGCCTCCTAACATTGGAGACAAAATAACACTGGACAAGGTATTACTAGCCGCCACCAAAGACTTCTCTCTAATTGGTAGACCTCTTGTTCAACCAGGACTGGTGACAGTGACAGCCACGGTTATATCAAAAGGATTGTCTCATACCAGAACACACTTTAAAAAGAAGAGGAGGAAGCAATATATGCGCATCAACTTCCAGAGAGCTGAACAAACCATGTTAAGAATAAATTCTGTTGATATTGCCAGTAAGATAAATAAACCTGCAAGTAACGTGTTTTAAAATAAATTTTAGTGAAGTAGTAAATAAAAACTCATATAATGGTAAAACTGTTTTGTTTTACAAGATATTTGTTTATAATTAGAAATTAAATATGTCATAAATAAATAATAAACATTAAAACTCACATTTCATTTTAAACTATCTAATGAAACATTATCACAGTACTCTTGGAAAGGTTGTTTGTGATCATCTTTCAAAAATCTTTTCATGCCTTTAAATAAATAAAATGTTTTCTTGTTTTCCAATAAGCTACTTAAAAATTGTATGAATACATCATAATCCCCATCTTTTTTATATTTCGAAATTGCTGTCTGAAATATTCTATATTGATCAGGAACTAACAGCACTTTAATTTCCTTGACAAAATCTATAAGAGAAGTTGGAGCAGTTTTTACAGGTACATTATTTTGATCATCTTGACTTTTCAAATTGTCTTCAAAACCAAATGGTTTAATTTTCAACTTCTTTCTTTTAGCTGTAGAAGTAAGAACATCCTCTGGCTCCCTTTTATGTATTGTAACTAAGGATTTAGTGGTTTCCTGTGATGAATCCTTATTGCTGTCTAAAGCACAGAATAGATCCTTTGCTTGTCTTGGTTTTAATTCATTAATAGAAGTGGAGGACTGGACATTTTTGTAATATTCCATTGAAAAATCAGCATAAACCTCATTTGAATTTGGGTACTGACTAACAGACCTTTTAGATGTAGATTTGTTAACAATTCTTGTATTAGACATGGGAAATGAGACACCACCTATTTTGCTTGAATCAAAGTTATTTAGGGTATCATTTGATTCACTAGGAAGTAATGGCTTAAGTTTTGGAGAAGGCAAGGATGCTTCTGCAGTCTTAAAAAATCTACATATTTCACTGACAGTCTCACCAAACCTGTTAGAAACATTAATGTGGTCTCTTAACCAAGCGGATAGTTGTGACTTTAACTTAGGACTATTAAATCTACCATCACAAAGAAGAATTGCTCCATAATCATTTCTGTGTCTTATAACTCTTCCTATTGCTTGATTAACTGCTCTTGTAGCTTCCAATGAGTACCATTCATCTCCAGACAAGAGCTCTTTGTTGCTCATTCTAAGCTCCTCCAAATACTTCTTTTTCAATATAATTCTAGCATCTTTTAAAGGTGGAAATGGTAGACCAGTTATAATGACAGCTCGTCCATTCATATCTGCAAAATCTAAACCTTCTGACACTTTCCCTCGACATACAGCCATAAAACAAGCACCTCTTGTACTTGGATCACTAATTTTGCTATAAAAATCATTTATTATAGTATTAAATGTATCTTTTCTCTGTGGTTCCACAAATATAGGTTTGATGTTATTTATATTTGACCAAATACCTTCTGCTTGCCATGCTTCTTGGCACTTATTCATAATTGGATATGATGGGAAGAACACAAGTAATCCGTCTGGAACTACTCTGGAAAAACTTAATATAGTTCTACCTAATGAGGATATATATTTTGGATTATCTCTGTTTTGATAGTTAGAATTAAGTGGTGTATTATCTGGGCCTTGACTTATTATTTTTACATATATCTGATTACTTTTCACAATATGTGGGTTCTCTAATAGAACTCCTATGGGTATGGAGAGTTCTGATATCAGAGGTTTCAAGGGGGCTAAAGTACCACTTGTTAAAATAATGCTCCTGACTTGCTGATCCAAAAGTTGTTTCATACCAAATCCAGGACTAAAACACCAATAGCTAAGGACTCTTTCTGCAGACTTTGAATTTCCAGCTTTAAGAGCTCCCCAACTGTCTGACTTTTTGTTGTTCTTTTTATCTTCTACTTGTATATGAACTTTATAACACAGTTTTACTCTTTCCTTGTAAGCATGAGTAGTCCCACTAAATACAACATTGAGTAAATCAACAATTTTTTGCAGCCCAACACCTTTCCGTTGAAAGGGAGAGGCACTTGCAGTGGATAAATATGTTATAAGATTACTCATCAATGTTATAACTGCCATCTGATTGTGATCTTTTATTTCAGCCTGAGAAAGTAATTCAAATATAAAACCACCCGGGAAGGTAGAGCCCTCATTGCCAACTTTTATTTCATCAATAGCCTTTTCTAATGCCAGCATTATTTCCTTTAATGCACACAAATCATCACATGTAAAATCTTTTGGTTGGCTGTTATCCATTGTAACATCGAGCTGTTCTTCACTGTTTTCACTGAATGACCTCATCACATAAGTAATTTCTTCTATACAAAGAGCAATGTCTGTACTTCTGATTTGGAGGGAAGCAGATTCCTCACACATTTTCTCAACATTATGTGCTTCATCCAATATTACTATGTTATTCAATAATTCTACACCATTAGCTTTCCTTGATTTAGGGTCTAATAAATAATTATATGGCATGAACACAATATCAGCGTCTTGTTTCAGTTCTTTTGACAAGTAATATGGACAACACTTCAGTTTTTTACCTGCATTTACTAAATCTTCAATATCTAATATTTCATCGCCTTTAACAGATCTGTCTTCCTTCTTAGAATCTACATTGTTGTAAAAGAAACAAGTTTTAGACTTCACCTTAAGTTGACACATATGTACTTTATTTGTATTATTAGTTTCTTTGGAAACTTCAGGATGAATACACATCTGATCTCTGGAGCCTAAAACAGCTGCTTTGACATGCCTGTAGCTTGATCTTTTTAACTCTTGCATGGCTTGAGTAAGTTGAGAATGTGTTCGTGAAGAATATATAATTTTAGGCATTCCCCAGGACATATTATCCTTTCCTTTACCAGCTCCCGATTTTAAAGATTCGTGTAAAGATCCACCAAATCCATTGGCTGCATGTTCGGTGAAGTTTCCTGCCTGTGCGTGCATCTGCAACTGGGCTTTCTTAACCAGCAACCACGCTAACGAAGAACATAATAAACTAAGAGTTTTTCCTGTGCCAGTAGGTGATTCAAGTAAAGCATGTGTATTGTTTTGAAGACTCTCTATCACTTTTTCCATATAAGCTTTCTGCACATCATAGGGTTCAAAAGGAAAACTTACAGGTATACCTCCTATCATAACTTCTGGCATTTTAATAAGGTTTTCTTTTATTACTAAGTAAAAAATTAAATTGCATGCTTTAAAAAAGTAGCCAGTTCATTATGACATTGACAGTAGAATTACCGCCAAAATTAAACCATTTTTATGAAAAGCCAAAGGAAAATTAATCCATACAGTCTAATCTTCAGAATTTCTCATTTTTTACGTGAAATGTATATATGGCGCGACGTCATATAATTTTCCTCTGATTCTTCCGCAGTGGATATTTTGCTGTAAAACTACTGATTAAAATCATTTGCTCAACTGCACGTAATAATTTTGTTATTAGTAGGTGCTAACTACTTCTCAGAAGCTTTTCAAGAAAGCTGACTACACATTTCATGCCAATCTCTCCAAAAAACATAATACTAATAATGAGGCTGTATAGATTTTCTATTCTTTACCTTCTGAAAGTTACCGACGAATTGACATTACATTGACAGTTAATATAACCTTTAAATAAAAAATCGTTCTACACATTCTCAGAATTTTCAAAATCGCAAAATATAATATAGTTTTCTATATATGTAACGTGATTAGGTACTGCAAATATGAAGTTATCTATAGAACAAATCTACACGTCTATTGGCTGCAACCGTATACCTGAAATAGTCGATTGGAACAGTGAAGGGCTAGTTTGTTTTGGTGCTTCTCACGCTGTTGTTATTTACAATACGGTACATAAATACTACTTTGATTGTGTGTGTGTGTGTATGTTGTGCTTTCAGAAAATTGTAAAGCTGAAGGAAGAACGGATATTCGGTTATTTATTTGTAGACTTTATACCACCGTAATCTGTTTCTACAGAGCAGACTTTCAAATTTCTGTGTAAAACGGAGAAAGTCACAGACAAAACAAATAAATAAATACTTCATAAATGTTTTATTGATTAACCTCTTAAAATGTTTTAATACAAATAATTTGTACTATGAAGGCCTTTTATTTAATTGCTAGATTTTTATCCAGTTATTCATTTCTTACAATTAAACTTTAGAGGCCCTTGATTTTCCATGCATTTATCTGAAAACTAAACACTGTAAAAATTAATAAATTTCATTTGTACTTCCAGAATCAGAAAGAAAAGGATCCTCATACAGTATGTCATCACCACACGTCTAGAGTGAATTCCGTGAAATGGCTTCGTAAACCACAAAATGAGTCGTGCACAGAATTTGTATCTTGTTCTGCAGACAAGACTGCTGCCATTTGGACTCTATGCAATGGTGTTTGGGAAGTGACTGGCAAGTTGGTCGGTCACACTAACGGAATCACATGTATATATGGACTATACACTGAAGGGGATGACCTGATTCTATTTACAGGTTCAATTGATTCCACTGTCAAAGTTTGGGAAAGAATTGATGGTAAGGTGTACATATATTTTTTTTCTAATAATATTTTTTGCATTTATATTGTGATAGATTTAACTGATGGCTCTTTCAATCCCTTTCAAAAATAATTACTTTACGTTTATAAATATTTTTTTACCAGGCAAGGACCTAGTTGGCCTTTTTTCTGTTATTGCTTTTGTTTTGTGTTATTATTTAAGGCTAATATTTTTTTTTCTTTATTTATTTAAATACTAATACTAAATACACTAATATACAAACATGCTTGTGTTTAAGGTTAATAAAACTTGAATGTTATTTTCGCGGAGGTTCGATTTTTTGATGCCAAGTGGAGAACATAAATAATGTTAGGTTTTTCTATTATGGATTTGAGGGGAGGAGGAATCCCTACCTAACCCCGTCTCTCCCCCCTCTCTCCTGGCGGGGCATGCATAAAGCTTTTTCCCAACATTAACATAGAAGGTTTTTTTCTATTAAAAAAAGAAATTAAATACAGTTCAGTTGTTTATCTTGTAGCTCTAAACATATTTTTCTGTCGTTCTCTTAAGGAAGCACAACCCTCAAACAGACTATCAGCCTAAACTCTGGACTCTGCCTCACACTTCATGTGCATCTCCTGCCAGTTGTAAACAAACCTGTGCTGTTTTGTGCACTTGATGACCATAAGATACATGTGTTTGCTGGAGATGAAGAGTATCACAGAGTACACACTATAATTGGGCATGAAGATTGGGTGAGGGGCCTTGATGTTTTAGATGTAGGTAAGTAATATGAATAAAAATAAGCCTTTTTAGTTTTGGAGGTTAGTCTTAGTCTTAATAATACGGCGGGCTGTTTCCAGAACTCGACACCCAGTGCCTATTTTGCATGGGGATTGGCATCAGTCCTGTCATCCCAGCTCCATTTTTGGAGGTCACGAAAATATGTTTTTAGTTATCTACTACTTGTAATGTTTAGAATAGAAGTTTGTGGTCAAAGGTGTTTTGTATTATAACTTAAAATTGTTACCAAAGTTATTGTATTATTTAAGAAAATTAAAACAAAATCAATTTTAAGTCTGATCAAAATACATAACATTCCTTTTTTGTTTGTAGATGACTCCTCAATTATGCTGGCTTCAGCTTCTCAAGACACATACATCAGACTTTGGTGTATTCAACAGCATATTCAAACACAACCCACAGCTGAGATCAGGGTTGAAGAGAAGGTGTTCCAGGCTTATGAGCAGAACTGGTCAGTGAAGCTGGAAGCTGTTCTAGCTGGACATGAAGGCTGGGTGTATGGGGTTCAATGGCATCCATATGTTATTGATCAAGGTATGATTTATTAGTGAAGGGTGATAATTTTAGATCATATATAGATAGATGTACCTACTCATTATTACTAAAAATGACGAGCATGAGATAACCTAAACAGAGGCCTTCTATCTATCTTTCTCTCTCTTCACCAAACTCTTTTGACGTTTTTAATACGTGACAATTTGTCTGTCAAATTTTATGTCTACTTGTCCTTTTAGATACAAATAGAAAGCAACCAGTATACCGGCTTCTTTCATCATCCTTGGATAAGACCCTAATAGTGTGGGAACCGGAAGCGGGGGGTGATCGGGGGGAGGGGGGAGCGTGGGTGGAGAGAGTGCGGGTCGGGGAAGTGGGGGGCAATGGGCTAGGCTTCTACGGCAGCAGGTTCGGACCGAATGGCACGTCGTTCATGGGACACGGATACAATGGATCATTCCATATATGGAATTTGTCTGAGGTAAGAAAGTGTTCATATAAATTAATATAGTACTTGTCGGTAGTATTTTTTAATTCACACTGACGTTTTTATCGCTATTCAAGCTCTTCATCAAAAAATGTCATTATTAATATCATTTATTCATAAAATAAAATTGTAATCACACAAACTAAAAAGTTAAGCCTCGCGTGTCTGTGTATTAAATATTTTTGCAAAAAAATTGTTTGGGGGTCTTAGGATAAGTAATTAGAACATATTTCTATAATTTTTAGAACTTTTGTCTGTTTGTTGGTTGTTCGCAATGAAAGACAATCTATACACTCGGAGTCAGAGAGTCAGAGTAAGAGGTGAAATTGCACACACGCCGCCCCACAAGGGCACAAGCTTTCCCTTTGGATGGAATAGGGAGTCGGGGCCATGACATGCAGCCGGGACCAACGGCTTAACGTGCTTTCCGAAGCACAGAGAAGTTTGTGAAGTAAGCACGTTCGAGATAGTAAATGTTTGGTCACCCATCCAATGACCAACTGCGAAAATTGCTTAACTTCCACGGTCGAGCTCCTCACTCAGCTTCATGTCTACAATAGCAATATCTTCACCAGGAGTCGGGACAGTGGCAGCCGTCAGTAGTGTGTGGAGGACACTTCGGTAGCGTAGAAGACGCGCGCTGGGAACCGCAGGGCCGCTATCTGGTGTCAGTCTCAACTGACCAGACTACGCGACTGCACGCGCCCTGGGGCAGGCCTGGTCAGTACTGCAATAGGTGGAGGGGATAGAGAGTATAAGAACAACCTCGGGGCCGTTACCTGGTGTCAGTCTCATCCGACCAGACCACGCGACTGCACGCGCCCTGGGGCAGGCCTGGTCAGTACTGCAATAGGTGGAGGAGATAGAGAGTATAAGAACAACCTCGGGGCCGTTACCTGGTGTCAGTCTCAACCGACCAGACCACGCGACTGCACGCGCTTTGGGGCAGGCCTGGTCAGTACTGCAATAGGTGGAGGGGATAGAGAGTATAAGAACAACCTCGGGGCCGTTACCTGGTGTCAGTCTCAACCGACCAGACCACGCGACTGCACGCGCCCTGGAGCAGGCCTGGTCAGTACTGCAATAGGTGGAGGGGATAGAGAGTATAAGAACAACCTCGGGGCCGTTACCTGGTGTCAGTCTCAACCGACCAGACCACGCGACTGCACGCGCCCTGGAGCAGGCCTGGTCAGTACTGCAATAGGTGGAGGGGATAGAGAGTATAAGAACAACCTCGGGGCCGTTACCTGGTGTCAGTCTCAACCGACCAGACCACGCGACTGCACGCGCCCTGGAGCAGGCCTGGTCAGTACTGCAATAGGTGGAGGGGATAGAGAGTATAAGAACAACCTCGGGGCCGTTACCTGGTGTCAGTCTCAACCGACCAGACCACGCGACTGCACGCGCCCTGGAGCAGGCCTGGTCAGTACTGCAATAGGTGGAGGGGATAGAGAGTATAAGAACAACCTCGGGGCCGTTACCTGGTGTCAGTCTCAACCGACCAGACCACGCGACTGCACGCGCCCTGGAGCAGGCCTGGTCAGTACTGCAATAGGTGGAGGGGATAGAGAGTATAAGAACAACCTCGGGGCCGTTACCTGGTGTCAGTCTCAACCGACCAGACCACGCGACTGCACGCGCCCTGGGGCAGGCCTGGTCAGTACTGCAATAGGTGGAGGGGATAGAGAGTATAAGAACAACCTCGGGGCCGTTACCTGGTGTCAGTCTCAACTGACCAGACTACGCGACTGCACGCGCCCTGGGGCAGGCCTGGTCAGTACTGCAATAGGTGGAGGGGATAGAGAGTATAAGAACAACCTCGGGGCCGTTACCTGGTGTCAGTCTCATCCGACCAGACCACGCGACTGCACGCGCTTTGGGGCAGGCCTGGTCAGTACTGCAATAGGTGGAGGGGATAGAGAGTATAAGAACAACCTCGGGGCCGTTACCTGGTGTCAGTCTCATCCGACCAGACCACGCGATTGCACGCGCCCTGGAGCAGGCCTGGTCAGTACTGCAATAGGTGGAGGGGATAGAGAGTATAAGAGCAACCGCAGGCCCGCTACCTGGTGTCAGTCTCAGGCCATCAGCCGGGGTGGCATGAGATATCCCGACCGAAGGTGCACCTGGCCTCGCTGAAAGTTGTGGACGCCACCATCTTCATCACTCTAGGTTTGTTCCTGTAGGCCATCGGCCTAAGTGGCACAAGATAGCCCGGCCCCAAGTGCATGGCTACGACCTGGCCTCACTGACCGTAGTGTCCACCACCCATTCATCAAATAGTTCCTCATTCTAGGTTCTCTCCTCTAAACCATCAGCCCGAGTGGCACGAGATATGCTGGCGCCAAGTGCAATAAAAACTGACATTTCTTCATTAAACAGTTCCTCACGCTCGGTTCTCTCCTCTAGGCCATCAGCCCGAGTGGCACAAGATAGGTTGGCCACAAGTGCAATAAGAACTGACATTTCTTCATTAAACAGTTCCTCACGCTCGGTTCTCTCCTCTAGGCCATCAGCCCGAGTGGCACGAGATAGCCCGGCCCCAAGTGCATGGCTACGACCTGGCGTCGCTGGCTATAGTAGACGCTACAACCTTCGTCTCCGCCGCCGAAGAAAAAGTCATCAGGGTATTTCGAGCGCCGCACAACTTCTTGCAGAACTACAGGAACATCGTGGGAGAGGCGCTTGTCGACGAAGCTAATGGTGAGTCCTTGATGTTAAATTAAAAGGAAGATTTTAACAGTATTATGTAATTAGCAAGGTGCTACCTTGTACCGCGTTCTTTGCACAAAGAACAATGCCCATTTTTGACCTGATCATGTATAGAGATGACATATACGTCAAAATAAAGCTAATATAATTATAAGTTTATTACAATAATCAACGTGGTAAAAGAAACGCAGGCAAAAAGTTTTTTTTATTATTTCAATATGTGTAAGTTACAGTTTCCGAACGCACTTCAACTATCATTCCAGTATACTTTATATTTATACATTAACGTTCATTATCAGGTTTTTAAATGTATGGAAAGTGGGCATTGTTTTTTCTGGCACTATTGCAAGTGCCATGATCATGAAGTAACTGTAATGACTGTGTAGATATTAAACTACAGCGATAATATAAAAGAGTAGCCAGAGAAAGTCAAATTTGCCTATCACGATTTGAAGTTTTTTTTTTTTACATATACTTAGGTGTCGATTCTGGCTTGATCCTCTGAACTTAAAACTTAATTTAACACCAGTCTCTCCTTTTCTTTGTGTATAGAGAATGAGAAGGATACACTGTTGTCAAATTTAAGCTTAGGTTTAGAGAACCATGCCCGAATCGATACCAATATCATATATTAAGAAATTTAGATTTCAAATAATGTTTTCAGGGATAAATGATGCAATATCATGATTTTTAATTTGTTTAATGCTTTCACGTCTCTGTGTCTAATAGCTAACATAGCAGAGGGTGCTTCTGTGCCTTCGCTGGGGCTCTCGAACAAAGCTGTGTTCAGCGAGGGCCCCGGTGATGATGACGACGGATACTTCGTGCCAGCCAACCTCACTGGTGAGTCATATCTATAATATAAAAATCTCGAGAACAGTTGAACCGATTTCAATATTTGAGAATATTCCTTGAAGTACTAGGATGGTTCTTACGCAGAGAAAAATTAAAAAAATGCCTAAAAAATTCCAAAAACAACACTTTTCTATACTCCCTTACAAACAATTCGTAAAAAGTCAATTTGAATTTTAATACCATACCATAAATTTCAAATGTTAGTGGAGAGGTTCCGGGAAGGCAAAACAATTGAGTGACGTGATGTCAATAGAAGTTCGGAAAAGGCAAATATACCATTTTCAGATTTTTTTTTATAATTATATGAAGAGTCATTTTAGTCTTCACTACAGCTCAACACCGAAGCGAAGCGAGGGCGGGCCAGTAGTTAAACAATATTAATTTTAATGATGATACCGTATATTTTGTAGTTTGAGAAAATAAAATTTAGAATAACCATATTATCGACCGATACCAGCTTGTGTATGGGCTGGAGTCTTCAGGCCTAATGTTCGACAGTGATGTATTACTTTTTTTTGCTTTTAGCTTTTCATAACGATTTCTTATACCACAATTATTGCTGTTTTTTGTTAGAATGCGGGGATTTTAAATTACAATTTTATCCCATGATATTCAAAACAAAATTACACTTTTTCATCTCATATAATTTTTGTCTTGGGGGTGGCCGAATGCCAGCCTCTATACAAATATGTAGGTCGTATACTTGGACCTCAGAGTTACAATCAGTTACATCAAGATAAGATTTAAAAAATTGGCACAGATTTTAACACCAAAAATAATAGATCCACATTTCAAAATAATAGATAAATAATTCCAACACTTACACCAATTGGCCTAGCCCCAAAGTAAGCACTGTAAGGCTTGTGTTATGGGATCGGATAGAATACATATATAGTACACATATAAGTATATTTATATCGAAATAGATATAAAACATCCATGACTGGAGTACAAATGCTCGTATTCATCCCTCAAACATCTGCCCCCAACGGGACTCGAACCCGGGACGAGTCCACGGAGGTAGCATAATGGTCAGTGCATTCGCCCGGATTGCGAAGGGTGCGGGTTCGAGTCCCGTCCGCTGCCTGGCCCGCGTGGATTTTTATCTAGTAAACTTTTCATTGGAAGATTTTTAAAACTTTATCGTCTATGTATGAATTTATTAGTTATTTTGTTAATAAAGTACTTGCTGCTCAGTTCCATTCATTCATTCCTAGAATGATACGCGAGGCTATTGAGATTAAAAAATATCCAAATTTCAATAGGGAAGATGATTGGTGTGTACCACCGGCTTGGGAACCCATTATACAAGAGATAAAATCCCAACCCCGAGCACACCCTGCAAGACCAACAGATACTATTAGTTATTTTTGTTTTGCATAAATAAAGGTACGCTACGATACTGTGCTACGGTGTAGCACTACGGCTGCTACAGCGTAGACAGTGAAAACGTAACGAGGTCATTCATCAATAGATTTCACTCCTCACATTTTTCTCATACCGGGCCCCTTATATATGCAAATTAGGCTTGTTGAAAATATATCGATGTATCGATATATCGATATTTTTTGTTCGATGTATCGATATTTTTTGCCGATATATTTTGATTCGATAAATCGATACATCGATACAAAATAACCAATATCGAAATTCGTATCAAAAACGATATTTTTTTAATTATTAGCGGCATATCACGATCTAACTAAATTCGTATCTGGAAAAATCGTAACTGGATCTCAGATTAATGATATACAACATATCTATGATCTGTGCTGTATTTAGTATTGTCTATGTCATCATTCGAAAATAGGGTCTATTTTTAGGGAGATAATTTTCGTTCCATTATTATTCCGTGTGTCATATTTCGTGAGCTACTGTACGATATTTTTGGGAAAATTGGTCCGATATATCGATATATCGATGTTTTTTTCGCGATATATCGAAGCCGATATTGATATTTTTTAAAATATCGACATCCCTAATGCAAATCGATTCTTAAGGAGTAAACTCCAAAAAAATATGATGAAAAAGAGTTCGTTATCAACGAAAATTTTTCTGCGCGTTCGCACCAGAACCGCCGACAGAGGAGAGCCTCATGCAGAACACTTTATGGCCGGAGACGCACAAATTGTACGGGCACGGTTACGAGGTGCACGCACTCGCCGCTACTGCCGACGTCTTAGCGTCTGCTTGTAGGGCGACCACTGCGGCGCATGCGGCTGTACTCCTGTGGTAACTATAATCATAATAATAATCATAATCAAAATCATTTATTCAGTTTAGGCTGTTACAAGCACATATGAATGTCTAGAAGCTACGCCATCGGTTCGTAAATCTACGGCGGGAGACCTTGTACTGAGAAGAACCGGCAAGAAACTCAGCAAGGGCTATTTTTTTCTCGCTGTTTTATTATTTACAGAGTCGTCAAATTGAAAAATGACTTCAGAGGTGATTCATGAAGTCACTTTTCATTACATAATTATTAAATATACTTACATTAATTGTTTACCTGCATTTTGATTGCTGTGTCATACAGTATAAATACAAATAGTGTTATTTATATTCAGTGTGACTAAACATTAACTTCAATATTAAGGAAGTTAGGGCAGACTCATCTCCGCTGGCAGCACCCGTTCAGCCGTATACGCAGCTTGTAGTTGAGTAATTAGAGTTACCAACGTTTTGAAGTAAAACTTCTTTTCGCACGCTTAACTTAGGGGGTGAGCTGGCGAATGCGTAACGCGTTACGAAAATTGTGTTGAAGTGTCTTTCTCTCTCCTCTCTCTTGTAGCTAGTAAATGCAGGGCTTGTTTACCGGTTAATTTTCAAACCTAAATCGGAATCAAGTACATTAGGAGCGTTTTATTTAGGTTTGACTCTACCTTAACCTTAAAAAAACCGGTTTTCCTAAAAAGCGAAGTCAAATAAGTTTTGAATCAATTTAGCGGTTTTTAAAGGGTTTCATTTCTATTTTACTGACGGCATCGCCTTCGCCGTTTCAATTCAAATTTATAATGATTTTATGTCAGTTTCTTTCCAACTACAGAGCGAGTGAGTGAAGTAGTGTGTCAGTACACAACTAAAAATGAATAACTTGACTCACTAGACGCTAGCAAACGTGTCAGTAAATGCATCAATCTCTGAGCATTAACAAGTTGCGACTTGATTCGTTCAAACAAAACAAAGTTCAAGCGATGTCGACGCGTGCACGTGTCGCTCTGGATTAAACCGGTTTATTAAGGTTTTAGGTACCCCTTTCATTTCGGACGCGCTCCGAACGAAACCTTTACTAAAAACCGGTATTAACCTTTATTTACCGGTATTTTGGAAACCGGTTACAAGCCCTGAGTAAATGAAACATGTATATGTTCATACATACATGTATACATATATTGTACACACATATATATGTTATATACAGATGGAGCTAAAGAAGTTTCACTTCAGTCGTGTGGTCATAAGCACATTCGTTTTTTTTCTATCATCATCATCGTATTAATGTCTCCACTGCTGGGGATATCCCTATCGATTGAATAGGGAGTTTGGCCCATAACACACCACGCGGGTCCAGTGCGGATTGTTGGGTGCTAACGACTGCAGATGCAGCCGGAACCGACGGCTTAACGTGCCTTCCGAAGCACGAATGAGCTCGAGATATTAAATTTTTTGTCACCCATCCAATGACCGACCACTGCGAAAGTTGCTTAACTTCAACGATCGCAGCTGAACGTGCTTACCACTTGCGCCATCGAGCTCCTGCTGTGATATAATGCAATTCAAATTCAATATAATTATTTAGCATTAAAGAATTTAATTCCAATCGAGTTTCATCGCCTACTTTCTTTTGGCCGTCATAAAGGTGTCTATTATACATAAAGCATCATTATCATTATCATCAGCCTTTTAATGTTCCCACTGCTGGGGCACAGGCCTTCCCTATGGATGGAATAGGTAGTTTGGCCCATAACACACCACGCGGGTCCAGTGCGGATTGTTGGGTGCTAACGACTGCAGATGCAGCCGGGACCAACGGCTTAACGTGCCTTCCGAAGCACGGAGGAGCTCGAGATAGTAAATTTTGGTCACCCATCCAATGACCGACCACTGCGAAAGTTACTTAATATCAAGGATCGCAGCTGAACGTGCTTACCACCTGCACCATTATTTAACTAATTATTTAGCAATAAGTAATTTAATTCCAATCGAGTTACATCTCCTATTTTCTTTTTCCCGTCATAAAGGTGTCTATTTTCAATGCTTAATGTATAAATACATTAAGCATTGAAGTGATTTTATTAACCAACGAAAATTTTGCTCAAAAAATTAACCTATATAACAAAGATTTCAGGCTGAAATCGAATCATGTTGGATCTCTTCTGGCAAATCTTCTTGAAAAGGCCTACTTCTATCTGCTTAATTTTTTACAAAAAAAAATAAAGGATTTTTTTATAGTATTGACCACTTTTTCTATTGAAGGGACACAACGAGCTGGCAACAGATACAGGAACTGGTGTCGCATCAACTGACAGTGACTCAACTAGAGTTCTCGCCAGACAGCCAGCGTCTCGTGTCCGTATCGCGCGACCGACGATGGACCTTATATCAGAGGCGGCAAGGTTCAAAGTTGTTCGACGTCGTCGCCACCACGGACAAAACTAACGGAGTGCACACGCGTATTATATGGTGCTGCGCTTGGGCGATTGATAGTACGATGTTTGGAACAGGATCGAGAGATGGGAAGGTGAGTACTCTCATTATCAATATTAGTAGGTAAAACCATTTGACTGTTTAATCTTATATATAAAATTCTCGTGTCACAATCAGGGCTTGATTACCGGTTAATTTTCAAACCTAAATCAGAATCAAGTACATTAGGAGCGTTTTATTTAGGTTTGACTCTACCTTAACCTTAAAAAACCGGTTTTCCTAAAAAACGAAATCAATTAGGTTTTGAATCAATTTACCGGTTTTTTAAAGGGTTTCATTTCGCTCTTACTGACGGCTTCGCCATCGCCATTTCAATTCAAATTTATAATGATTTTATGTCGGTTTCTTTCCAACTACAGAGTGAGTGAGTGGAGTAGTGTGTCAGTACACAACTACAAAATGAATAACTTGACTCACAAGACGCTAGCAAACGTGTCAATAAATGCATCAATCTCTGAGCATTAACAAGTTGTGACTCGATTATTTCAAACAAAACAAATTTCAGGCTATGCCGACGCGTGCTCGTGTCGCTCTGGATTAAACCGGTTTATTAAGATTTTAGGTACCGCTTTCATTTCGGACGCGCTCCGAACGAAACCTTTACTAAAAACCGGTATTAACCTTTATTTACCGGTATTTTAGCCCTGGTCGCAATGTTAGTTACCATACTCTTCCGAAACGGCCTGACTGATTTTTATGAAATTTTATATGCATATTCCGTGGGTCTGAGAATAGGCTACTATCTATTTTTCATATCCTTAAGTGATAATGGTTGTCCACCTGAAACATACAATGCGCTTTCGCGCCAAAATTCAAACTATTGGGTATTGTAACGTAGTGTTCTTCTATGGGTTAGGAGGAATGTTATCCTAGGAAATTGATAGAACACTAAAATATTTGGACAACATTTATTTTTTTATAATGGTATTAAAAATACATACAACCCTTAATTTTCTCTTCTACCACCTGCCCCTATTTTTATGGCGGTACGAAGTTCGCTGGGTCAGCTAGTAGTCAATAGTCATATATATATTTTTAAGCTAGTAGTCAATAGTCATATATATATATTTAAGTACTCGATGTTTTAATATAAAATTTATATTTACTCAGCGAGCAGTTACATGCTTAAAAATAAAAATTATAACTATAATTGCTATTTCTTCTTTCAAATGTTTAATACTTATAATTGTATTCATTTGACATATTGGCTTACCTGCAATGCGAAGAGATAGCGCTGTCTTGCAGCTTAAGAAAGGCTAGAAAGAATTTGACACGGTAGCAAAATGGTCAGTGCATTTGCCCGGATACCGAAGGGTGCTGGTTCGAGTCCCGTCTGCTGTCTGGTCCGCGTGGATTTTTTTCTAGTAGTATTTAGTTTAATAGTTATTGTCGACTACAGCGCCACCTGTTGGGTAGAGTTGCAAGTTAAGTTTTCTTAAAATTCTGTGCAACTTTCTTATTCTTTTTCCATCAAAGCACCGAAGCGTAAGCGTGGTTATCATAAAATACGTCGTTATTTTTTTCAAAATTCACGAGTTTGATTCCCAGATGTAGCAGGCGAATTTAAAAAAATCTGTGAATGCAGTTCTACTTATTATTAAAAATAAAATGATGTCTTCTTTCAGTAAAATATCCTATCTTCAATATTTCCCTACGAGTCACAAACCCGTGGGACGCCCTGTATATACTGATGAATTGAATATTTACTACGTCCATTTCGTCAAGTAACCATGCATGCATTGATTTTACAAAAGAGCATTTTCATCTTATTTCCAGGTGTGTTTATGGTCCAAGACCAACAACAAGACAGACTCTTCAATCGGCGAGTACGGATTGGTGGGATCTCCCCTAGAAGTGAATATTTCAGTCACAGCAATAGCATTCGCGCCCGTGGAATCTGAAAGCAAGATTATAGCTATTGGCTTTGAAACGGGCAAAATTAGGATATACGGGTTTTCTGAAACCTGGAGTCTTCTACGCGAAATGGATAATAGGTGAGACAGCCATCATTACCATCCGTATCAGCCTATTAATGTCCCCACTGCTGTGGCACAGGCCTTCCTTGTGGATGGAATAGGGAGATTGGGCCATGACCCACCACACAGGCCCAGTGCGAATTGGCGGGCGCTAACGACTGCAAATGCAGCCGGGACCAACGGCTTAACGTGCCTTCCGAAGCACGGAGGAACTCGATATAGAAGATTTTTGGTCACCCATCCAATAACTAACCACTGCGAAAGTTGCTTAACTTCAACGATCGCAACCGAATGCGCTGACCTCCCGCGCCATCGAGCTCCTCGGAGACAGCAATGCTTTTTGAAGTGAAACTTCTTTACGCACGCCTGACTTGGGGAGTTAGCTGCCGAACGCGTTACGAAAAGTGTGGTCGGGCGAGGCGAACGGAAGTTAAGTGGGGGATATAAGCAAGAGAAAGCTGTGCGCGCGCACATTTTCTTTCTCTCTTTCTCTTATAGCTAGTAAATGAAATATGTATATGTTCTTAGATAATTATTGTTTTCTGGTAATGTTCAAAAAAACTACAAGGGGGGGGGGGGGGTGTCATATAAACAATGTTGTTCCCGTTTCGAATCTGATGCAGTTGTCTGCCCTTGACTTGTGAAAACGACTGTGTGATTAAGAAGCGCTTTAAAATAGTGTTTCTCAATAATGGAATAAATAATGCATCTCCTTGTAAGCGCTAGGAGTAGATAACTCCACAAGGCGTTCAAAGTTCTCGAGAGAAAATAAGGTGATGTTGAAGTAACTGAGAAACTAGCTGATTTGTATGTTCTTTTTAATTTTGACTTAATAAAGGACTCAAGATCACATCGTTATTTCGTCCGTAACACAACTATATTAAATACCTAGATACACCACATGCGCTCAAAATGTGTCCCAATCAAGAAGTGCTTGAATACGACTCAAGCACTTCTTGATTCACAGTCACGCGCGGACCGTTGAAAAGTCAACAGGCGAAAATAACACTTATAGAATGTAAAATGTGGTTTTTTCGACAGGTATCTAATCAATGTTTGTTAATTTAACGCATTTGAAGTAAATTTTGTTTTAATACTTACTATAAACTGATTTAATAGAAAATATTTGTGATATTCAAATGCATGGTCGATAATATAGCCGTCTCTTTTCCTCGCGGTCCGTACCTGCTATATTACTAACAGCGCATTCAGAATTGGACGTAGAGTCAAAGAAATAAGGTCTTTATTCTTCTGCATACGACTTATTGCCGTAAAATTTTACGAGCTTACATATCGGACTGTCATAAGTCTTTGACGCGTGCGTTTTAATTAAGACCTTATAAACTATGCTTTAAAGCTGAAATGTTTAAATAATGCCTTATATTGGACTTTTAGACTACGCGATCATCTTACGGAGCTCCGTGGATCGTCCAACGTACCTTGTGGACAGGTTTCGGGCATTTTGTTCGTGTTGGTGTATCTAGGGTATTTAATATCGTTGCCGTAACATCTTTAAATTGGAGGAGTGCGTGCAAATAAAAGCCGAACGCAAATCATTTGGACTGGAAGTCAAAGGGAACCTCAGAGATGTGGGATTATGCAGTATTATTTTTGTCTCAGCCGACTTCAGAAGTAGCCATTAAGCTGCACAACTGAATTATAAAATGTATTATAGTCTGTCCATTCTATTATCTTTTTGACAGATTGACGCCCATGAAATTTTAGTATTGTTTACGTTAAAATGTCATACAAATAATATTGTACTTCATGGACGGGTACCGCCCACTTAGTGATGTGCCACACATAATGATTACTAAGATTGTGCCACAGATTACAAGTAAGATAGAGACCAAGTAATTAAAATATTAACATTATATAAACTTCATTTTATAAATGTCTTCTTAGTTTATTTTTAATTTATTCAGACGTATCAGATTCTTCATACAAACGAGGTAAAATAATAAATCTAATGAGATATTGTAATAATTTATTAAACACCAGTATTTTTGATAACTAAAATAATTTCGATACTTATAATCGATTAAACAATGTTCTAGCATAAAATCGATTATAGCTTTAAATCGAACGAGTTATGTGATAGGGTGTCACTATTTTTACTTCGATCGATCTGTCAAAAAGATAATAATAGAATGGACAGACTATAGATTAAGAAGTAGGTAGTAATAGTTAGTTAATAGTATAATTATTGTAATCACTATAGCCTGACATAGTCGCCCAGCTATCAATGCCTTTAAATACAAATATTTTTTTGTGGAAAATCACATAATTTGATGTGGAATGTAATGAATAAAACTAGTTTTTCACGGGTTAATGCACGAAACTTTATTTATTTATTGACGTTTCGCAGCCTTTATAGGCTGCGTCGTCGGATTTTTTTTTTTATTTAATTTTATCGAGCCTAAACTTTAGACTAGACTACGCCTAAAGACTTTTCGAAGGTAGCTCGACAAATTGAGCGTTCGGTTATTTCATTGTTCGATTTTTAAAGTTTTATTGTCTATGTATGAATTTATTACTTAATTTAGTTAATAAAGTACTTTATTTAAGAAACTTTTTTGTAATTTTGAATTTATTCATTTGACCCTAACTACCGTAAACTACCACCGGTTCCAAAATTCGGAGACCTTTCTGAGAAGAACCGGCGAAACAAACTGAAGAGAGGCTTTCTATCTCCTTCTTATGTTAAATTATGCAAACAAAAAGAACTAATAGTAAGTATCTGTTGGTCTTACAGTGTGTGTTCGGGATTGGGATTTTATCTCCTGTATAATGGGTTCCCAAGCTGGTGGTATATACCAACCTTCTTCCCTATTGAAATATGGATATTTTTTAATCTCAATAGCCTCGCGTATCATTCTAGGAATGAATCGTTGCTCAGTTGCAACCATCATTTAATGTGTGATGTGCGTGAAAACCTAAGAAACAAATATAGAATGTAATGAATTTGAGAATCTCTCAGAAATAAATATAAATATGTATATCCAACAGCGCTGCGCACCACCTGACAGTGAGCCGACTGGCTTTCCGTCCTCGCCGGCTCGAAGCCACGCGGCTCGAAGCTACGCGGCTCGAAGCTACACGGCTCGAGCTGGCCAGCTGCGGCGCCGACCATTTCCTCAGAATACACGCTATCACTGTTACCCGATAATAAATATATATATTGTAAATGTTCAATCGACTTTTAATTTCTGAGCCCATATCATAAACCGAGGGAATTTTATTTGTAACACTGACAGAAATTAGTCTATCCCCAAAGTACGCACTGTAAAGCTCAATAGGGTATTTGACAGTATTAAAAATAAAGTGCCAATTGTTAGCATCTGTATTTAGAATGAATATTGGAAGGAGTTTTTACTATTTTTACGGAAAAAATATTCATAATTTTACTAAAAACCCACGATAAAGATAATAGTTTTTTTTGTCTGTTGTCACGTGACCCAAAACGCTTGGGATTGGTGGAGCCTAAAATGACGTCACACGCAAGTACACATTAAAGTGACATTAGATTGTATGGTTTGACGTTTTAATGACAGTCGAGTGACGTCACACACCAGTGAGACGCCATATTGTCCAGAGATACGTTTTTCGCGGCAACTTGAAAATAGAGTTTTTGTTTTAGTTTTTTTACCGAAATAAACAACATAATGATGAATATCGACTTTTTATGGACTCTATAAACATTAGTAAATAACGTGAGATCGTTTTCTTAAACTTGTCAAATACCCTATTTATACTGCCGCGGAATGGAATGGGAGGGAGAAATTAAATTTATTTTTTCTCGAGGATTCTTGCGACTGCGGCTTGAGTGACGTTTAGCTGTTTAGTCTCTAGACCCTATAAGCCCTTACACCAAGGTATAAAATATGTATTCATCCGCCATTTCATAAACTAACACGACAATACGGAAACCATGCGACGGGAAATCATATTGTGAAGAGAACCAAACAAGGGCAGTGTGAGCTTCGCAAAATCATGAGAATCCTTCATCGGGGGAAAATGGCGCTATATTGAAAAGCCTATCGTTTTAGGAAAAAATATATTTAATAGTCTGTGCGGAAAGGGAATGGGCGTGGCGAAAAACGGAACTAACATTAAGATTTTTATTTGGCAATCCAACCCAGCCATCTGTCAAACATCAAAGTTTTGTATTGATATGGATTTGTTTGTTGTTGTGATTTCTTGCGGTTTTTTGTATTAAATCATGTGTAAAAGGGGTAAAACCTTACAAATAGGGTAGAAAAGCACTACAGCGCCCTCCAATCTAAATCCCATTCTCTTACCGCACAGACACTAGAAATATTATTGATTCGGTGCACGAGTTAAATTAAAACATCCAATAGAAGCCATAAGCCATGTCATCTCGCCATATTACAAAATAAGTTGGCACAGGCACCTTAAGTTTTGGCCTGGGCGCGGCCTGACCAGCCGCGCGCCCTAGGTGCCGCTCCCGGTCCGGAGCCTTTGCTGCCCATACCTCAGGCCCAAATTAAAACGTGGCTGCGTGAAATAACTCATAAATCACACTTGATGGAGTGGAAAACAGGTGAAGGATGCCGGCAAACGAAAAACGCGGTTCCGGCGGTAAATAAAAGTTTTGCCCGCACCCTTACCAGACTAAATAGGGACAAACTTCGCAGGATTATAGGATCCCTGACTGGTCATTGTCCCCTGAACAAACACCTATATACAATGGGGGTTACAGACAGCCCCCTATGCAGAGGATGCATGGAGGCAGAAGAAACGCCACAGCATGTCATCATGGAATGCAGGAGTGTGGCCGACCAACGGGCACGACTTCTCCAGTCACCAGAATCGTTTCCGGAAGCTTGCAGCAGTCTATCAAGGCTGCTTTCCTTCTGGACCGATATAGGCTGGCTGGAGTAAGCGGGAATGTTTATGAGATACGCACAATGGTCCAATAATTAGGACTAAGTGCGGAAACCGCCCTGAAAAACTAACTAACTAACTAACTAGGTGCCGCTCCGGCATAGGCCACCACGTCTGGGGACTGCCTAGTACCCTAGCGCAGTCCCCCTGAGGCGCGTCGCCCGGGCCTGCCCGGGGGCGTGCTCGGAGATGTGGCGCACGCAGATGCGTCGGCCCCGAGACCGCCCCCATGTGGGCGTAGGAGGATACCGGGGGGTTTTAGTGGAGTAGGATCAGTGTGGTCTTCCGCACTGGTCCTGCTTGAGTAGGGTCGGCACTGTTTCCCGTGCCGGCGAGTCCCACACACGCCGTGCGCCTAGTCAGCGTCACGGTATGGTGCGTAACTGCATTTCCCCTCGTCACAAAAAAAAGGCACCTTAAGTTTAATACAGTGTCTTAATTTTTTGTTCACGAGACTTGTATTAAACTTGTTGGAGAAACAAAATATGTGAAGTACATAAATGAGTGATTAATACCTGTCAAGATACTAGTTGTCTATGCTGTGTAAACGAAACAAAGGGTTGTAACAACCACAACAAGTATTCTACTAATACAAAACTATTTTGACTTGTAACTTTGTGTAAACGAGAGGTTACGTCTACGCCTAAGCTAGATACCGCACTATCGCTAATGTCCGCGACGACCAACTTCGCGCCACAGAATTCCACAGACGGCACAGGCAGTCCCTATAATGCGATTCAACTAAGAATAGGACCGACTGGGCGCCATATTTTGACGTCATAGCTGTGTCAATTCAAACCAAATAGGTAGAGTGAGCAAAAAAATGTTGCTATTTAATAAAACTTATTTACTAAGATTAACTGTGACAAAATATCAGATTTTTTAATAAAATTACCTTACTAAGGTTGAGAAAGAACACAACCGATTATTAATATTATTTCTTTATTAAGACTGTGTGAAAAAAAAACATTAATCACAATCTAGCTCTTCAATTTCGCTCATCTCTGCATTACCACCGGAGAAGTTATTAATAATCATGCAGGTCACATACGAACATGCATCATATATGTAAACTAAAGTTTTAAATTTTGAACGAGTTTTTGAACGCAACATAGTGACATTTGGCTGACGATTTATGTTATCAACCATTCATAGCCAAAGCTCAATAAATGAAAAAAAAACAACTGATATTAATTATCAACATTTCTTATTGTTTGCTTAAAAATTTTTGGTTTTTATTCTAGAATCAGCTGAGTGCTAAAAAAGTGTTGCGAGATTTTTTTGCAAACCGTTGTTTTCAAGCGACATTGACAGACGGAGGTCATTGGCTTTCCCATTCTTATTTGAATCGCATTATACGGTAATTCTCGAGAATGTGCGAGGAATCCGCAAGAAGACGCGAGATCATTTCATAGCTCGTATTTTGTACGTTATGACATTGACATAAAGTTCACTATGCTATGCACAATTTTGTTGGAAAAATTCGCTTTCATCCATTCCGCCCGCAGCTATATAATTTGAGCCTAAGGCTTGTGTTAAGGGATACTAGAGTAGATAACCTTTCCGTAACCGTCTTTACACCACCCAACTTAGGTCCAACTATCCGTTTTCCTTTAAGAAAGATTTAAGTGTCATTAGATGGCGTTATTATAGCTTATAGTTGTGCTAAAAATTATCTGAAATTCAGCATAACATTCTTCAAGTGAAGCACGAATATTTTTTTTATTTGGAGAAAAGATGCATATTTTGAAAATTCAAATACTTATTAACAAGACGAATAAAACACTAATTAAATCTGTATAAATACATTTTAATAACATTATAAAATTTTAAACATTTCTTAATGAGGGCTATAGCGTATGAATCCGCCGCTAGAGGCGCTAGTGTAGCGTGAGGTCTCCGAAATGTCAAATGTTATTGCTTGTTGGTTGACTACGCGGGTTTATTTCTTTCTTATTAAAATAATGATGTGAATAATTGGTAACAATTCGGCTTAATTATGGCAAATATGAGTTATGTGGCAATGAATGTCAGTTATTAAAAATTTGAGCTTAATAAAATGATTATGTTCCCATTTTTTCCGAATAAAACGGAACTGGGCGTCACTGTGGCATGGCCTATTATGTTTAGGATATGGTTCTTTTGTGTTAAAATACGATCTAAATGTAACCTTTGATTTCATGTGCGTATTAATAAACTTTAAAAGTTACAATTTAGGACCTCACTCAACAGTGGCGCCATCTGGTGAGACAGAAAACGGTAGCCTCATTGTGATGGCAATGATATGTACCTATTTAAAAGAGGTAGTAAGGATCAATTAGACGTAAAATGTTACATACATTTTTATTATCACTCAGTATTGCATCATGCATTTCTAGGTGGGTTGGCAAAGTTAATCCACACATTGGTATCGATTCTGGCATGACTCTTTAAACTTCAAACTTAATTTCAAATCAGCCTCTCCTTTTCATTCTGTATAGAGAATGATAAAAAACATGCAAATCAATCGTTCAAAAATAGTTTTATTATGTTTACGAAATATAGTTAAATATATTGCCAAATACAGTTAACAGCCAGTTCTTTTTTGAGTAATGACTATAAAAAAATATTAATGCTACAAATTAAGCCTTATATATCTTTAACAGTTTATAAGAATTTGATCATTCAATTGATCAATAGATTTTGATAAGGCTCTATGAAACCACACACATTGGTATCGATTCTGGTATGATTCTTTAAACTTCAAACTAAATTTCAAATCAGCCTCTCCTTTTCATTCTGTATAGAGAATGATAAAGATCTTGCAAACCAATCGTTCAAAAATTGTTTTATTATATAACGAAATATAGTTAATATATTGCCAAACACAGTTAACAGCCGGAGTTCTTTAAGTAATGACTATAAAAAACTATTAATGCTACAAATTAAGCCTTATAGATCTTTAACAGTTTCTAAGAATATGATCATTCAATTGATCAATAGATTTTGATAAGGCTCTATGAATCCCCAACACTAAACTGTCTTTGGTCAGACTTATATTGTTATCAAATTTATGTCAGAATCGCCACCACTGTCTCACTGTGAGCAGGTTAATTAACCTTAGTAATAAATCCCTTGTTCCCTGTACATTGCAAGCACGGTAAAATGTTTTTTTTTTACATTCGCATACGTTACTATCGACAATGGAATATTACCACCTAGTGCATTTCATGTTTTTCCATCACTGTTAGTTCACCATAAAATATGTTATGCTGTCGCATAGCTATACGTTTTTTGTATGAAAAAAAAGGTGGCTAGCACC